AAAGCTCCTGGCACATACCTTAGAGCTAACACGGTGCATGTGCGGGTCATGGGCTAGGGCAGGGTCCCCCCATCCCCAAGGCACTGGTGGGGACCGCTCTTCCCTTCTGCCTCATCCTCTCCATCACCGCAGAGGTGGGAAAAACCCAGAAGGAGGGAGCTGACAGGTTTCTCCAGATGGTGCCCCGCTGACCCCAGCCGTTCCCCGTCTTCAGCTCTTCCTTAGGAAAACACGGTGCGGGCCAGCCCATCAATTAATGGTTTCCTCATGTTCCCCCCACACAGCCGACGTGGGAAGCTGTCTCCCTGTTCCCCAGACCCTGCTGAATTGAGGCCCCCCCTCCCCACGGCCCCGCACCCCGCGCAGGTGCCGGATATCCCGCGCACAGGGGGAGCACGTGTTTAACCAGGGAACGGTGCCCTCGTAAAGATGAACAGGGAGATAGACAGGTTGGGTGAAGAAATAAATGAACAAATGAATGAACGACATGGTGATTAACTCTGAAGTAATAAGTGCCCCCTTGGCTTGTAAAAATACACTTGGCATTTTGAAGAACAGCACATTTCTCACTGCAAGGACAAGAGAGGCTGGAGCAGCTGCACTCCCTAAACACTTGTTTGACATGGTCATGAGTGGGAAAAGTGCATGCTGCCCTACTCCGGCAGCCTCTCTGGGTGGGTGGAAGAGCCCTGTTTGGGACTGGGAGAGAAGGAGAAGGGCTGGGAAATGCAGAGGCCGAACTTTGCTTAGGAAGTAAAATTTAGGGTGTTAATAGGGCTTGTGGAGGTTGTAAGTGCCAAGTAAAACACTGTGCTTGGGCAAAGGGTGGTGGACAGAGTGCTGCAGTACCAAGAGCATGGCAGAGCCGGGACAGAGGATGGGGCACTGAGCAGGTTGGTTGGACAGGTCACCACACCTTGAGGAGTGACAACAGCCCACTGTTCCCTAGTACACCATGTCCACAGGAGGTGAAGTATGACTTTTCCATGTTATTAAGCACAGAAGCATGGAGAGTACGGGCTGGCAGGGCCACCATCACTGCTCCCCAACAGCTGGAGCCACTGCTAAGAGCCACAAGGATCTGCACTGCAGAATGGAGAGAAGTTTCTCTGTGTACCAGGGAGCATCAGGGCAATAAGGAGAGCCAGGACACCAGGTCAGACCATGACAAGGGGCCACACAACTAGGTCGTGGTCTCTTTAAGCAGATGTTGCCCCTTCTTAGAGACTCAGCTCCTCACCAGGCACCTTGTTCCCAGAGCCCAGCACTGAGCTGTGCCCCACTGGCCAAGCAGAATGCTTTTTCCTTGACTATGCTGCACCTGAGGGAGGCGTTCTCCTGTGGGATTCAGTCAAATTTTATTTATGTGGGCTTTGGTTACCAAGAGCAAAACGATGGAAAATAATATACATATGAATCTATCTGTCTGTCCACTGAGGTTGGGGTTCAGCTCTCCAAGCTCCTGTGGTCTCTCTTGAGTGGAGCTGGCTGGACAACACAGAAAAATAGCATTGAGTTTTCTGTAGTATTCTCACATTTTGTGTCTTTCCTTGGCCACATTCTGGGTTTCCATGAAAAATGTTCACTGGTGTATTGAAATGAGAAAAATTTCAACCAGCTGCAAAATTCAGTCCCAAAGCGGGGAGTGGAACTTGCAAGCCTGGCCTCTCTCTCAGCTGCTGTTTAGTCTCAAACATTTTGGCCCAGCTGAATACTGGGAAAAGGCCTGTTAAATAAAAAAACACCCATGGAAATGTGCATGGTCGTTTTGGCCCTTCCTGCGTGGGGACGAGGCATCTGCTGCCTGCAGCAGCCGGTCCCAGCACGGTGTTTCCCAGCTCTCTGGGCTCATCCAGCTGCTGCACGGGGTGAGAGCTGTGCTCTAGGAAACGGGAGTGCACTGCAGTTCAGACTCTTTGCTGAAATAATATTTTTTCCTTGAAGAGCTATTTTGGAAAACATATGCCTTTGCAGTGGCAAGGTGAGTTTGCACTGCAGGATCTCTTTCTTGCCCTTGCAAAGCTGTTGGTTGTAGCCACCAGGACATCCCCTACTGCCACCTGAGTCCCCCTGTCCTGTGTCACCCATGGGTTGTGGCAGCACCCGGTGGTGTCAAGTGCTCCCCACTTCCAAAAGGGTGGTCAGGGCTGGGTGTGTGTGGGTGGATGTGGCAGTGCCCCTGGATTTGCAGCCCTTCCCCAAACTATGCCTATGGCACCAAGCCCTGCCCAGAGCTGCAGGGTGGGATAAGCAGCATCGCTGAGGAACCCTGTGGTGCCTCCACTGCCCCTTGGTGCCCTGGCACCATCTCAAGGTGGCCCAGCTGCAGCTCCCAGGGACAGCAGAACCCATGTGCAGCCCCTGGCTGTGCCAGGCAGAGGGAGAGGAATAACAAAGGTGAATTCTTGCTTTGGATGCTGAGGCGACACAAGCAAGTGAAGTCAGGAAAAGTTCTCCAGGCATCAGCCTCAGTGAAGTTGCGGTGGCCTCCAGGCCTTTATCCAGGATTTTAGGACATTTCCCAGCCAAAGGTGGGGAACTCTTCTCCTCAGCACAGACTATGGGGTATGTGGTGGTCTCTGATACTCCCCAGCAGGACACTGGGATGCCAGCTGGGAGCCATCCCTTCTCAGCAGTCCCAGATGGCAGAGCTGAAACAAGAGGGAAGAGCCACCTAGGAGGATAAATGGAGAACATCAATCACCAAGTTCCTCAACTCCAGTTTTAGGTGCCCCAGTTCAGTGGAGGAGAAATCAGGTGCCAAAGGAAACTCTGGAGTCACCTGCCCCAGAAGGCTGTGCACAGCACTCTTGGGGAACACAGACACATTGTGCCTCTCCTGAAGGCTGTACTTCCTTTTAGAGGGCATATGCTGCTGAAGCTCTGCCCTGATGAGTATCCATGCCCATGGAACAGTGCTGCTGCCCTGCTCTTTCCTGGGCTGTGGCTGCTGAGAAGAGGGACCAGAGAGTGCCCACAGCCCACGGGGTGGTGCTGAGCAGCCCCTGGGTCGATGGGGATGATGCCGATGAGAGTCCTGTCCTTGCACACCCAAAGGGTGCTCCACCACTGACTCCTGTGTGAGCACTCTTGTGTTTATCCACAGAAGCTGTGGCTGCTTCATCGCTGGAAGTGTTCAAGGCCAAGTTGGATGGGACATGGAGCAACCTGATGTAGTGGAAGGTGTCCCTGCCCATGACAGAGGGTTAGAATGAGATGAGTTTTAAGGTCCCTTCCAACCCAAACCATTTTGTGATTCTTTGACTGTTGGGTGCATGGGGTTGAAGTGAGCCTGGGGCAAGGCCACATCTGGTGGGAGGAAGAAGAGAACTGGGTGGCCCAACTACTTGGAGAGCCATCTCATGGCATAGGCCAATAGTCTGTGACAACAAAAAGAAGAGGAGCCAGGGATGGGAGGGTCTATGTTAGGAATGTGGATAGGACCAGCTCATCCAAGCCCATGTGGTCCCACATACCCATTGCCCCTCAGTTTCTGGCCTGCCCGTGCCCTGTGTAGGCACCCCAGCACCCACAGGACCTGAATGATGGCACTGCAGGCCCTCCACGTCTCTGAAAGGTCACCTCTAGAATCTCCAGCAGCTTCACCAATACATCTGTGTGCCCACACAGACATTCCCCAGGACCTAAATCGTCAGTCCCCATACTTCCTTGTCCTGAAACCCAGCAGTGCTCCACCAGTCTCTTCAGCTGGAGTCTCCAGCACCACTCTGGGAAGCCCAGAAGCACCAGACCACCCATGGGATGGGGAGTCTGCACAAGCTGCCGTGGCCTGAAAAGGGCAAAGCTTCATCCTAAAGAACTGGAAGACTGTGATGTGGGCTACAACACCTCACTGAGCCATTCAATAACCGAGGCAAGGTTTGTAGGGAAAGGAATATCTATTGTCAGAGCACCTACTATTTCTATTCATATTTATTAAGCCAAGACTGCTACAATCTCAACATGGGAAGATACTGGTGTCTGTTTAACCAGAGACTTATACATGGTGAAGAAGATATAAAAGACTAGAGGTGGATCAATGAAAGCTCTTCTCTCTTCCTGCCACCTCTGCCTTGTGCATCTCCTCGGACAACCTTGGCCAGAGAAATACTTCCCAGGAGAGCACGCAGTCCGGCCAGCTCCGAAGGATGCACACCAAGGCACATGGTCACTTGGTGTCATCTCAACAGAAGCAGGTGGAATTATGTCAGTTGGCACCAGGTGAGAATATAGGGGCGTAGACCTGGCTGGCTGGCTGATGATACAGCCCAGGTTCAGGGGGGGCAGGTGGACGTGGGAGGGTAAAATGGGTGTCTTCAGGTCTTTCCCACTGGGTTGTCTGGACTATGCCCCAGGACAGGTAAAAATGAGAGGTTGAGAAGTCTGTCCCTTTCTCCCTGGTGGCCAGCAGCACACTGCCAGGGCCTGGCTCCTCCCTGTGGCACTGCAGCACAGCATGGGTCCAGCCCCAGCCAGCAGTGCTGGTCCATGTGAATCCAAGGTCACTGAGGAGTCAGGCCTTGCAAAAGTTCATTTGTCCTTCCTGGTGGAGCTTCTGGGGCTGGTGGCTCTGCAGGGCTGGATAGTTTCCACTCAGCCTCCCTGCATGCACATCTGGGTGAAGGACAGGAGACTCCAACCTCCTGTTCCTCCTGGGCAAGGAGAAAGGCAGACAGAGGTCTTACAGCAGCACATTTTCAGAGCGAGGAAGAGTCATACCCTGGATGCTGGAGAAGGGAGAGCTGTCAACTCAGATGTCAACACTGGGTTGAAGACAGCTATGTTAAAGGCAATATAAAAGCCTATAAAATGAGTGCTATGGACACCAATCCCCTCCAAGCTCCTTCCAGAGACAGGCACCCACAGGACCTTGGTCCACTTTGCTCCTCATTAAAGGTTTGTCATTACTGTGTTATTTTTAATACACACTTAGAGAAAAAGACCGACACGCACACCCAGCTGTGCACACGCACACACAAAGGGAAACCATTGCCAAAATATACACTATAGACAGAGAGTCTGTTCACACTATATATATGTACAGAGTCTGTGGGTGCAGTCTGACAGTGCCCAGCCGGGCTGGGGCTGAGCATGGGGTGGGGACAGGATGGGTGGAAACACCTCAGGGCTTCACACACTTCCCCTTCTTCTCCCGCCGTTGGAGTTTCCGAAGGCGGCGTGTCCAGGCGTCCCGCCACTGGATGACCAGGCTGTTCTTGTCAGCCATCAGTCCGGGCCGGTCAGTGGAGTTTTCACTGATCCCCATGACCAAGTACTTCTTGCTAATCTGGATCTTGGGGCACTTGCAGGACAGGTCTTTCAGGTGAATCCACAAGAAGTTGTCACCACGCTTGACCCGCTCGTCGCGGCACTTGTAGACAGAGAGGATGTTGATGGTGAACTTGGCCCAGTTGGCCACCGTCTCCATTTCTAAGATGTTCACCTGGACCACTGAGGGAAAAAAGGGGGAGGCGTGGTGATGGGGGATACTTTGCCTTGCTCCACAAAGGAAGCTTTGGTGGTGGGAACTGCCTGTCCCCAGCAGCCCCCCCCCCTCCACCTCATCCACCATGACTTTGGGAGGGCTAATTTGGGGACCCCTCTCCATACAGAGTGTTCCCCATCCCCTGGGTGCCTGCATCTGCCCCACCCACTGCCAGCCCTCATCTACCTCTGGGGCAAAGCCCAGCATGGCCCAGGGAGGCTGGAGGTCCTTACCATAGTCCTTCTTGCAGTACTTCTTCATGTTAATCTTGTAGTTGCCCTTGGCTGGTTTGCAGTAGGAGTCACAGTCTGCAGGGGAAGAAAAGAGGGTTGAGCAGAAAGGAATGGATGGGAGGAATGCAAGTGAGGTGAGGGTGGCCACCGTGGAGAGCAAGCAGGGGCCATGGACAAGGAGAGTGGGAAGAGAGGATATGGCACCAATCCCACAGCTCTGACAGCAGACCAAGGGGATTGTGATCCTCAGGGCAACTCAGTCCTTGGGGGCCAGAGTGGTCAGAAGCACCCTCAGGGGCAGCCCCTTCAGAGACCTGTGCCTCCTTGGTTCCTATAAGCAAGGAAGGGGACTCAGGCTGGGGGAAGGAGGCAGGAGAGGGAAGTGGCTCTGCTCCACCAGGTCACTCCTGTTGCCCAGGCATCCCCAGCTCAGGCTGCTCCAGAAGGGCTGGGGAGGCCATCAGGCTGTCCCCCACCACACACACGTCCCTTCCTGCTGTCCCCCAAGGCTCCTGTCCTCCGGGAGGCTTTTTTCTGTGCATTTCTAAAGCCTCCAGATTTGCATCTCAAGCAGAGGGAGGGCAGGGAATGCCTCTTTCCTTCTCCCCAAAGGCTTTGATCCCAACAATTGCCCCAAGCAGCCCTGTTCTTCTCCTTTCTTTCCCCTGCCATCTTCCTTTGAACATCTCAATTTGTCTCTTTCCAAGTGGCATGTTTTTTCTAAACCTGTCTTTCTTCTTTTCTCTCCCTTTTTCAGGTTCTCCCTCTGGCTTGGCCCTGTGTCCCGGGATGGAGCCAGCAGCCTCTGAAGCTGTCTTTGTTTGTGGGTTGCCACAGCAATCACTGGGGATGGAGGCGAGGGTCTGGAGGAAGACGGGGAATAACAGCACCCCATGCCAAGGGGAGGAGGAGAAATGAAGAAAGGAAGAAGCCCGGGAGCACAAATTCCCCCTGGGCTCTGCTGTTCTCCTCTCTGCCCAGCTCCTTTTTATCTGTGACTTCGTGCCGCCTGTTCCAAATTTGTCAGCGACAGAAGCAGCACAGCACGAAGCTAATTCTTGGCAGAGGGGGGTGAGCCCTGATTTGCAGCTCAGCTCCCCCCCGTGCTGCCACACTGCCCCTCTGCCTGGGCTGACAGAGCTGCCTTGGCCCTGCTGCATCCCCTGGGACAGCGGTGGTGGCTGTGGAGGGGACACAGGATCCTCTGGGAGAGCAGTGGTAGCTGCAGAGGGACTCAGGCCCTCCCCAGGCCCTCCCAGGTGACTGCTGAGCACACTGGAGTGCTTGGTGCCCTCATCCACTGCATCCATGGGAAATCCTACAGCCTCAGCCTGCTATATCCCCTGGGATATGCTACAGCCCTATTCCAGACACCACTGTATCCCTGGGATGTGCTAAAGCCTCAGCCTGGACATTGCTATATTCCCTGGGATATGCTGCAGCCCCATCCCAGACTCTGTTGCACCCTCCCGAGATGTGCCACAGGCCCACCTGACACACTGCTCCATCCCTTCCTGCAACATGAAAGGGACTCTAAAAGAGAGCTCCCACCTTATTTTGGGGAGCACCTGTCAGGACAGGAGACCTTTTCCTCCCCAAGCAAAGGGGCACAAAACCCATCCTGCAGCTGGCAGGGTGATGGGTGGTGGGACCAGGCTGTGGGGCAGCCTCAGCCAACCTGCCATGTTCCCCCTTGGTGATCGGGACAAAAGGAAAACAGAAAGAAATCCAGTAACTGCCCTGGGCTCCTGCTGGTGATTAACAGCATAACACTGGGATCCAAAAGAGGCAGAAAATGGGGTTGGGAATTAACAATTTGAGATTAGTTTGGGAATTTTTTTAACCATGGCTTTGTGCTGAGGAACATTACTCAAATGTAAAATCAATTCCTGCTCCGTTTATGTAAGAAACTTGGGAAGAGAAAAAAAAGTCCATTAACTGGAAGCATTTCCCTTCCTTGCCCCCGAGAACGTGGCCTCCATCACTGGGTGTGGGGCAGACATGGATGCTGTGGCTGGGAATTGTCTATGCAGCTGGATGGGGCAGCTGAGCCCCATGGAAGGGCTGGGGGACAGCAGAGACCTGACCCAGTCCCAGGGTGTGAAAGTGCACCTGCAAAGCCCAAAATGCTGCTACATCCCTGGGATCCACTACAGCCCCACCCCTGACACTGTTGCATCCCTGGGATCCACTACAGTCTCCCCCCCCCCCACCGACACTGCTGTATCCCTGGGATCCACTACAGTCTCCCCCCCGACACTGCTGCATCCCTGGGATCCACTACAGCCCCACCCCTGACACTGCTGTATCCCTGGAATATGCTACAACCCCATCTCAAGCACTGATGGATCTTCGGAATAAGCTACAGCCTGATCTCTGAGACTGAGACATCCCTGGGATGGGGTACAACCCCATTCCTGATACTGTTGCATCCCTGGGAGATGCTACAGGGACAGAGTGGGAGGAGGCTGCTGGCAACCAGAGCCACTGGGCTGGCTCCCTGCTGGGGGAGTGTGTGTGAGAGGTGGTAAGTTTGCACATCTGGTTTACTTCTCCTCTCCTTGGGAAAAAAAAAAAGGAATACTTTGTTTTAAGAGAGATGTAACTTAATTAGGTGTTATGGCTGCAAATATTTTACTGCTTACTTTGAATTCCTTTAAAGCCTTGTTTTGCGCTCCACAAGTTTTGTTAATTCTAATGGGGAACATGGATTTATTTTTTTCCATTAAGTGGAAAATATTTTGAGATAATAATAATAAAAATTATGAGAAGTGGACCCAGGATGTTTCATCACCAAGCCAGTCAGCTACTCAGGCACAGAGATCAAAGCTGGACCTCAAAGACTTTGGAAGATCGGAAAGGCAGGAGAAAGCTGGGAACAGTGATGCAGAAGATGGCAATGTCAGTGAAAAGCCCGGACATACCCGGGGACGGGACCCCTGCAGGGAGGAGGATGGAGAGAGGGGGAGAAGCCCAGCACCTGAGCACGGCAGCCCCAAACAATGTTCCCCTGTTCCTGCAGCCGGCACCTGCTGCCAGAGGCAGGGTGGGAAGTGGAGAATGGGGGGAGAAGGGGCTTGGAAGCTGCCTGGGGTGGGAGGACTGCGTGGCATTGAGGGGCTGAGGGCCCCCTGGGGAGTGCCCTGCTTAGGGGGAGCTGAGGGCTCCTGGGGCAGAAGGATGGAGGCAGAGGGGCATCAGGGTGCAGGCAATAGGAAGGGTACTAGCAAGGTGCTGGCAGTAGGCAGGGTGCAGGGTACAGGCAAGGTCCTGGAAGCAGGCAGGGTGCAGGCAGTAGGCAGGATGCACTGCTGTGGCCAGCCCTGCCCGTGGCACAAGCACACTGGAGTTGGGCAACCCAGGCAGTGTGGGGCAGGGCAGCATCACCCCCCACCTCTGACCCCACCAGTGAAGGGGCAGTATGATCCCTATGCCCTACTCCCCCAGTGGCACAGGCCCTGGGCAGAGGCAAATACTTTGCATTAAAGATATTCGAGCTAGAAGCCAGAAATCTTAAACCAACAAACCCACAGATAAACTGGAGGCAGTTTGAGGCAGACCTGCTCCTCTAAAACAAAGCAATCAACCCAGCTCTTCACCAGCACGGTTTATTTTTGCGCAGCTGAACATCACTGTGAGACTGTTCCTATTTATAAAGCACTGGAGGGGAATCACTTTGATTAACTCTGCTCCACACAACACTCTCTGTTGGCAATAAAACTGTTCAAATCTCCCTTTCCCTCTCCGCAGTGTTTCCCAAAGCCTGGTGTTCCCAGCTCCCTCATCACAGCAGGCAGGGTAGGCAGGGCAGGCAGGAGCAGAGGTAGTGGTGGTCTGCTGTGTCCCACACAGCACCCCCAACAGTGGTACCATCTTCCTGTTGGGCAAGACGTGCACTCCAAGTCCCAGCTCTCCTCCGCTGCCACAGCGTGGAGTGAAACCTCTGCCAGGTCCAGGCAGGGCTGCTCAACTCCTGTCCTGAAAACACCTCCTGTTTTCCAGAGCCTCTGTGGAGTAGAGCTGTGAGGGCTGGGCAGTGCCCATGGGCGCTGGGTGGGCACTGGGCTGTGCAGTGCTCCCAGTCTGAGCCATGTCCAAGGAGCTGAGCTATCAACCTCCTCCTGTGCATCTCCCCTCTCCACCTCCATTGACAGGCTTTACTCCTGCCATAGAATCACAGAATTGTTAAGGTTGGAAGAGACCTCCAAATCATCAAGTCCAAGCTTCGACCAAATACCCTCATGCCCACTAAACCATACACGTGAAGTGCCACATCTACTTGCTTTTTGAACACTTCCAGGGATGGGGACTCCACCACTGCCCTGGGCAGCTGTGCCAGGGCCTGTCTACCATTTCAGGGAAGAAATTTTCCCCAGTATCTAATATAAATCTTCCCTGGCACAACTTGAGGCCTTTTCCTCTTGTCCTGTCCCTTGTTCTCTGGGAGCAGAGCCCGATCCCCTCCGGCTCCCCCCTCCTGTCAGGGAGTTGCAGAGCCAGAAGGTCCCCCCTGAGCCTCCTTTTCTCCAGGTTGAGCCTCCCCCCAGTTCCCTCAGCCCCTCCTGCTGCTCCAGCCCCTTCCCCAGCTCCGTTCTCTCCTCTGGACACACTCCAACCCCTCAGTGTCGGTCTAGTTGAGTGAGGGGCCCAGAACTCCACACCTTCAACACACCTTGTCCCTGCCCCTCTCCTACAGCCACCGAGGGCATGCATAGGACTGCAGGGGCTGTGCTGGGAGATGTTCCCAGAAGCCTGGGGAGTACATCCCAGGCACACACCAGCCTGGGAAGAGGCTGTTGGTGTTTTCCACCAGCAAGGCAAGGTGGCCATGGGAAGGGGAGCTGGGGAGAAGGTCACAAACAGAGCACTGGCTCTCTGAGAAGCACATAGGCTTCCCTGGGATAGACGTACCCTGACCAGGGCAGGGGGAAGTTGTTCATTAAATATGGGTGTGGGGAGATGGGGGTGCCCCTGCTCTCTTCATAGGACCATGTGGCATGGGATGGAGTGGAGGATGGTTCAGGATGTCTATTCCACCACACTGGTATGCAGGAGAAGACTGAGGTCATGGGGACAGTAGGAAGAAGGGTGGCCTGAGGAGGGAGGGGGCAGCTTCTTTCCATAGATTCTCCCCTCCACTGGCTTGAAATCCCTACAGAGGGATAGAATTGGGATGGCTGAGAACAGCCACACTGCAGTGCTGATGGGACTGTGAAAGGAGAGGAGGGGAGAGAGAAAATCCCTGCTACGGCCCTCCTTACGCTGCTGGATGCATCCTGCCGTGGTGGCACAGGGTCCAGGGGCCAGCACAGCACTTCTACTGGCATGTGCTGAGACACGAGGGAGCTCAGGCACTTTGGTGGGACCTTGGGCCATGGTTGGGCTGGAAGAGCCCACCTGAACTAATCCACCAGTTCAGGTAGCATCCATGCACACCCAGCAGTGCCTGGCCCCAGCTGAGCCTCTGCAGGAGCATGAATAAACCTGCAGCATGCAGGGAGATGCCAGCCTTGCTCCAGCCTGGGGAGCCAGAGCAGCTCTTCAGGAGCTCTAAGGCCCATGGCAGCAGTGCTTCCCTTGCCTGTGCAAAGCCTGGAACCCCTCAGTGGAGCTGTCCCCTCTCACTGGGTGACCACAGCAGTGACATTGGTCCTCCCATTGCCCCAGCACCCCATGGTCTCATCACCCTGTGCAGCCAGGACGAGCAGCTCATACCTAGACCCTTCACTCCTGCAGACCTGGGTGAGGTGAGCCCCATGTCACCCATGTCCCAGGGGAGACCTGGCAGCCTGTGCCCCAGCACAGGGGCCCTGGAGCCTGCCTGCAGCTGATAACCTGCCAGACATCCAGTGCCCCAGCACCTCCCAGAGCACCGGGGCCCTGCAGAGGCAAAGGGCACCAAGGAGAAACCTCTGGCACTGGCACCAATAAAAGGAGGTTGAATGAAGCCACTGGTGCCATGTGCCACAACCCCTGCCGTAACCTGCCAAGGGATGGCAAGGCCCCAGTGGGTTGCATCCCTGCCCTCCTCCTTGGAGAGGATGGAGAAGGCCTTTCCCAAGAAAGTCCATCAATCTTAGTTGTCTCTTTTCCAGAAATACATAGGATTTCAAATCTCAGTCACTACTTTCACTGAAATTTTTCACTATTCATGTTTTGCCAAATGGTTTGCCAGAGCTCAGCCCTTCTCCCTGGTGTGCCAGGGACAGGAGTTGGGATGGGCCCCCGGGTCTCTGGGCAGGGCTGAGGCCATGGACTTGGCCAGGGACATGGAGCACTTACCTGCAGGTGCCTCTGTGCTGGTGACTAGGGAGGTGGGGTTGATGGCAGGGATCTCTGGAAAAGAAAGGAAGAGGTGTCTTAAGGAAAGAGGTCACCAACTCTAGGGGTGACAACTGGGAAAAAGCCCTCTGAAAATGGACTAGAAGGGGTTTTGTGGGTCACAAACGAAAGATGATGGGATGAGTCTGACCTGAATACCAGAGGCCATCTAATAGACCTGGAGATGTCCAAAGTGAGTTCAGTAAACTGGGACAGGCTGAGATGCTGCAGCCCTCACAAGCCTAAGTTGCTGTGTGGAGGTGTGTGCTCCAGGGATGGATGTTCCTCAGATGCTCAGCTCATCTGAACTCAGTTTAGACATTGGACAGATGCTTGGTTGATCTCAGCATGCTCCAGGCTGCCCAGCACAGGGATAAATGTGGGCAAAGACAACACTCTCTGAGAAGTCTTGGCAATAAAAACTAGTGGAAATTCTGTCCTAACCCTAAATCTGGGGAAGAAGAGAGGGAGAGGAGTCAGCTCCACCAGCTCACCCACACTGCCACTGCTCCAGCAGCCCCAGTGAATGCAGCAGGGCGGGAAGTTGTTCCTCTGCCACTTGGGTCAAATTCAAACCCACTGCAACTATAAACAAGGTTTTGTGCTGCCCACAGGCCCTGGCCCTGCCCCAGACGTGACCGTGCTCCGGGCGCAGCCGCGTGAGGAGAGCACTTGCTGTGGCAGAGGATGGGACACAGCAGAGCTGTTTCAGTCAGCTGGAAGCACTGACCCAAGGGGTCTTCCAGAGCCTCTTGCACTAGGGAATATGAAGCACAGGCCACTCCACAAAGTGACCCACCATCCTCCTCAACCACCTCCTGGAGAACACCCATAAGGACAGACCCTCTCTTATCTGAGCCTCCACCCACTGCAAGCCATCCAATGTGGGTGGGGGACCAAGGAGCATCTCCTGGTGCTTGTGGGGGTCCCCGAGTGCCAGGCAGGGTGTGGGGCACTCACTGATGCAGGGGGCCACGGGCGAGCGGCTCTGCTGGTAGCCCTTGGCACAGCGGTTGCAGGTGAGGCCGGTCACGCCGTCCTTGCACGGGCACTGCCCCGTGGTCTGGTTGCAGGTCTTGCCGGCTGCACCAACAGGGTGGCAGTCACAAGCTGGGTGGGAGAGAGAGAAAAGATTATGTGAGAGGGCATGCAAAACATAAACCCCAAACTGGACCCAAGATGCAACCCTGAGAGAGGTGAGGAGAATGGGGTCCTTCCAGTGCACCACTGGAAAGCAGCTGCTGGAGCTGGCACGGGCCCGTGGGTCTGAACCAACCATGGCCCCACATGTGCTGTGAGCAGCACAGGCAGGAGTGTGAGCAGACAAAGCGATTGGCCAGGGTATGGCCCTGCTGACAGGGATGCTCAGGATGAGTCCCTGGACACACTGCAACTCCCACAGGGGCCTGCAGCCACCAGCTCTCTCACCTCAACCCCAGGAAAATGCTCTTGTTGCAGCAGTAAAAGCCATTTTCTCCACTTGCTACCCGACCTCTGAGCTTTTCAGTCCATGGAGCTGAACCAACACTGAGCTTTTTCACAAACACTGACCTTGTCTTGGGTTTAGGATGAAGTGGGTCTTCTCGATGCTTCCCAAGCTCATGAGCCTCAATGCCTACCTGACTCCTGGAGACCCTGGGCAAAGGATGACCCCATGCCTTTCTAGGGACAAGCCACGCCTGAGGTGGGTGAAAGTTGGGTCTCCACCCTCAGAAGAATGCTGAAGTGGCTCTCCATCACACCACATTGGAGGACGGACACACTGAGGTTGTCTACATGGAGGGACGTGGAAAGGAGATGCTCCCTCAGGAGAGGACCTTCCCATCTGTTTGCTTGGAGCTGGGGTGGCTACAAGCTGGAGGAGGTTATCTCAGCCTCCATCAGTGTAAGAGTTGAACGTGATTTCAAAGCAAAACAAAAACATCTCCCCCACCCGCCCCCGCAGCCCCCTGATGTTATCGTTTCCCTAATTTTCACCAGATGGGATTGGTGGGAGCACCATGGCACTCGAGCCCCCTCCTGCACAGCCAGAAACCAGAGCGAGCAGCCTCTAATGGGGACCAGATGCTCCATCCTTATCAGATCTTGGCTGGGACTGGAAGCGGACGTCTTTCTGACAGGGATATTTTGGGGCTCAGCTGTGATAACAAATGGCAGTGAGCGAGGGAGTCTTGGCACGACGCGGGGCCATTGGAAACACAGGGGTTTTCTTGGGCCCCAGTGGTATGTTCCTGGTGCAAAGCTTATGGATGGGATATAAATCTCAGCCCAATCAGGATCCAGTTCATCTAAGCCCATCTCTCTTCATGCAGTGGAAGGAGGATTTCAGTGACTCTGGATGTTTTACCTGGATTAGTAATTAAGGCAGCTTTGCTCATCCTAAGTCCACAACAGATCAGTGTCGTTGGGGGATAAGTTTGGTTTCTGCCAGATCAATCTCTGCCCCTTAGCCCCGCCGTAGAGGAGAGATTTCCCATAGTCCCAGAAAAATACATTGCTCCTTCCTGCTCCTACAGGAAGAGCGTCCCAGGCAGCAGTGGGTCCCTGTGCTGGTTTTGGCTGGGGTAGAGTTAACTTTCTTCACAATGGCTGGTAAGGGGCTATGTTTTAGATTTGTGCTGAACATGGGGTTGATAATGGGGTTGAGATGTTTTTGTTATTGCTGGGCAGAGCTTACACAGAGCCGAGGCCTTTTCTGCTTCTCATACTGCCACACTGGCAAGGAAGTTGGGAATGCCTGGGAGGTTGAGAAGAGACATAGCCAGGACAGGTGACCCAAACTGACCAAAGGGATATTCCAGACCATATGACATCATGGTCAGGGGAAAAAGAAGGAGGCTGGGGGGGAAGAAGGCAGAAGGAGAGGTTTGGAGTGATGGTGTTTATCTTCCCAAGTCACTGCTATGCAGGATGAGGCCCTGCCCTCCTGGGGATGGCTGAACACCTGCTGCCTGTGCGAAGCAGAATTCCTTGTTTTTCTTTGCTTGTGCGTGCCTCTTTTGCTTTCCCTATTAAATTGTTTTCATCTCAACCCACAAGTTTTCCAGCTTTTCCCCTTCCAGTTTTCTCCCCAATCCTGCTGCTGGGGCATGGGGGCTGGCAGTGTGAAACCACAGCAGTCCTACATTGCAGCGTGGTCCATCACACTGCTCCGGCTGGAGCATCTCCATCCTTCCTCATCCTGACATGACCTGTGCAGGGAGGCCAGCCCAGGGACCCCCTCCTGGCCCCAGGGAAGGTAGGTACCGGTGGCATGGTGCAGCTTCACACCACTGGCCACACACTGAGCCCTGCTGCTCCCAGCCCTCTGGCTGCCAGGATCTGGCCCGTGGAGCTTGAATGGTGGATTAAGTCACTAGCTTGGAGCTTAACTCATCGAGCCGTGCTTGCCAGAAAGCATGTCTTGCACCTCATATTCAGGGTATTTCTGCATCTTGAGGCTTAGCTGCTACTGCTTCACCGGTTTTCATTGGAGAAAGCTCACGGTTTACAGCTTTGTTTAAATTACCGGGATTAATGCACAGTCATTCTTTATTTGACTTTTCAATTACCGCCATTGAATTAATCCTGTAGGTTGTTCTGCCTTTTCCACCCTCCCAGCTTTTCCGTCTCGCAGCATCCAGTGGTGGGAGGGAAGCACTCGCTTGTGGCCGAGGGTTCAGCTCAGTTAGACTCAGGCTTGGGCAAGCTGCAGTTGGTATTTTTGTGCCTATTTCAAAGATGCTGCATCCCAGGAGAGACAAACCACAATTGGAGAGGGATTTAGTAACATGAGTTGGGGTTTGTTGAAATAAGATGCAATGGTTCATGGCCTCTGGGCTAGGGATTTGCCTCCTGGTTATGAGCTGACCATCTGCAACCTGGTCTAGTGGGAGGTGTCCCTGCCCATGGCAGGGAATTGGAACCAGATGATCTTTAAGGTCCCTTCCAACCCAAACCAGTCTGTGATTCTACGAGCATCCACCTTTGCAGTCATGCTCAGCTTCTGCCTTGGACCAGTGCTGTGGTAGTTGCAAAAGCCTTCATTCCCATCAACCTGCTCCACATCTGCTTTAAACATCTGTTGTCAGGATCCTTGCTGTTTCTTTTCTTTTTTTTTTGCAGGAGTGTAGATACCTGAGTTGTAGGTATGGGACACATCTTTGGAGAAACCAAGTCCAAACTGTGTTGTCACATCTCTGTCACTGTGTATTTCTATATCTCTCAGTGACAGTTCTCCCGTCCCAGCACCTGGGACCCTGCTCCTGCTCCAAAGAGCTCCAAATCCCAACAGATCCACCACTGGATAAGTACAAGGAAGAGGTGGAAATGCTCTCTGCTTTACTGAAGGAGAGGCAGCCAAAGTAGCAGAAGCATCAGGGATTTTATTATTAACTTTGTTCCCTGAGGCAGAGCCAGGAATTGGCTCCCCAGACCCAGGGTACCGTCTTCACTGCCAGATCCTCCTCAACATATGCACCATGGCGGGGGTCGGCTCCGTGCACATGTTCATCTGGCTCGGTTGAGCCTTTGCAGCACTTCCAAACCATGGGCAAACCCTGCCAGCCCTCCGGAAACAGCACCCCCTGCCCAGGCTGGCAGAGACCTGCCTGTGGCTTGGCACAGGGATGGAGGCTTGTCTGGGAGGGGGGACCTGCCACAGCACCCCCACTCCGCTGCCCCTCCTCAGCCCAGGCAGCGCTCGTTGGCATTTCTCCTGCACTGTGGCATCTGCCCTCACCCCATCCCATTAACTCCTGGGCATCCTGGGATGCTTTGCCTGCCCTGTCCCATCCAGAAGAGCCACCTTGGATCAGAGGTGCTTTCCATCACCTTGATGCTACACAATTCCTGCCCTGAGGGGGGTGGAGCAGGACTTGTGCTGACAAATGGTGGATACAGGCAGATGGAAGCAGCCATGGATGGAGGATGCTTCCTCCATCCTCAGCCCTGCAAGCAGAGGAACCTGAGCCACAGCCGAGTAGGAAATGCTGTGCCTGCAGTGCCCCTGGTCCCATACACTTGTGCTGTATCCAGTAGTCCTCCCTGCTCCCAGACAAATCCAGCTTGCTTTATTAATTTTGGGGGTTTTTTTTCTATTATTACTTTTTGGTAAGTGCCCTCTTTCCTGTACGGAACAGAAACTGAGCCCTCAATGCCCAGGGAGGTGGCACCAGGGTCCCCAGGGCCCCTGGGGAGGCAAATGCCTGCAGGGTTTCCACTTTGGTCAGTATTGTATCAGGTAGTTTTGGAGCACAAGTAGGAGAAATCACAGAATATCCTGAGCTGGAAGGGACCCAATAGGATCATTGAATCCAACTCCTAAACCTACACAGGAAAACCTCAACAACCTCCCCATGTGCCTGAGCGCATTGTCCAAGTGCTCCTTGAGCTCTGGCAGCCTTTGGGGTCATCACCACTGCCCTGGGGAGCCTGTTCAGTGTCCAACCACCCTCTGAGGGAAGAACCTTTTCCTAATATCCATCCCAAACCTCCCTAATCCAAAGAGGAGCAGAGACTCCTCCTTGGGGAAGAGTGGGAGGTTAGGTGCTGCCCACAGAAGCCGAAGGGTGAGGCACAGCCACCCCAGTGCCTCCCAAGCCCTGGTGCCATTGGGGGTGAGCTCACAAGTCTCCAGCACTTGAGCACTCATGGAAAAGGGAATTTTGCTGCAGTTGCCCCAGTCTGGTGGTGCTGCAGCAGGAGCTGAGGGCTTCTGCCATCCGTTCCTGGCCTCAGCCAGAGCCAGGACCCCTCCCAGGAATGGGACACGGTCTTGGATGCTGTTCCATAGATTACCAGGATGCATGCCCTGTCCTGCCTCCTCCTCTTCCTCTCTCCCAGTCCCTCCGAGTGTCACCCCAAGAATGCTGGCACCTGGCATGGCTTTGGGGCCTGGCTGCCACCTGGCACAAGCTTCATCAAGGGGAAACCCTCGGTGCTTCCAGGGGTTGCCACGCCCCTGTGACATGGTTTGGCTGAGGCCACCGGGTGGAAACAGCACGTGGTCCCTGGGGACATGGGCTGTGAGGTGGGACCTGTCAGGTCAGCTGCTGAGGTGATTAGAAATGATTAGCTCGCTGTTTGCTAAGGAGCTGGCTGCAGGCAGGGCCCGTCCTGCCAGTGGCTGCTCAGCCCCACTCCCTGGGATGAGCTCAAGCATTCCTGGGATGAGCAAGGATGCAGAGAGCCTGGGGCGGCTCACACAGCACAAGCGACAGAGGGACTTCACCTATTGCATCCCAACCCAGCTGAGCCAGACCTCCAACAGCACTACTGCACATGACAGGGGAACCCCAAAAGTCAAATCCTTCCATTCAGGTCTGCAGCCACAGTGTTAATGGTCTGAAACCAGCTCCAGTACTTCCTTAGGCCCTACATAAACACATGAGCATCATGTTCTTGCAGCAGTGAAGGTGCCCAGTGCCCACACAGCTGCAAAATGCATTGGAGAGGAATCAGAGGGGGACACTGTGCTCCCTTCCAGGAGGGACTAGCAATCTAAGATGGAAAAATAAGGATCAGGGATGAAATCCCAGCATCTAAACAGCTGTGGCTGACTTCCTGCCGACTCTGATGTTCCAGTCTGGATCCTGCCAGTCCTTGGGGACAGGCAAGGTGTCTCCTTACCTCAAATTCTTTGGTGAAACTACTGTTTTGAAAAAGGCTCTAGCAGATGGGTTGAGCAGGGACAGGGAAGAGGAACCAGGCAGGCTTGGCCAGGAGTTAGAGGAGAGAGAGGAGAGGTGCAGGTCCCATGATGTTTGGCACCGGCTGGGAACCTTGTGAGGTCAAGCTGCAGCTTGATGGCTTGGAGCCAGCATGGCTCCTGGTCAGGTCAAGGACAGCTACCAGGAACCATGGTGTTCAGCATCTCCCCCAGACAGGTCCCAAGAGCCACCCCATAGCTGAAATGCACACTGTGTGGTCCGATGGAACTTCCGCCAACATCCCCAGGCCTTCAGAGCAGGGAACTCACATTCCAAGCATGGCTATGTCCCAGACAACATCCATATCAGAGACAGGATTCCAGCACATTTAGTTAGATGTTGACTTCAGCACCTGCCCAGCATCTCTCCAAACACTGACCATGGAGATGGAAACTGCCACCACACCAGGACCCTCCTGGGATGGATGGGCTGCTGGCAGCTCCCTGCCTGTCATCCTCCCCACCCCTCGAGGACATGCTGGGCTCAAAGCAACATCCCTCCCTGGTGCCTTTGGGGTGGCAGAGGTCATCAGGGTGGTGGAAGCTGGAGGTGATCTGCAGCTGCCAGAGCAACCGGCCAGGCTACAAGCAAAGGGATATCCCAAGGATGAGCAAGGAGAACAAGGAGGTCAAGAGAGATTCTCTCACCCGTGTTGCCCACATGGAGACCCTCCAGCTCACCTTTGCAGGCCTTGCGGTCTGTGATGGACTTGCTGAGGTCACGGTAGAAGCCCTCCTTGCAGTAGTGGCAGTGCCTCCCCGCCGTGTTGTGCCTGCAGTTGAGGCAGACGCCGCCGCTTTTGCGCCCCGACAACTTGTACAGCTCCATGTTGAAGCGGCAGCGCCGGGCGTGCAGGTTGCAGTTGCAGGCTGCAAGGGAAGGGCAGAGAGTGAGGGCTGGAGGTGAAACCCGGGACCCCCTGGGTGGGCTGGAGCTACCCTGCTGCCCCCCATGGCAGCTGGGGGGTGTGCTGGGGAGCAGGACGGGCACAGCACAGCACAGCACAGTCTCAGTGTGCCGTCCAGATGTGCAGCATCCACTGCCCCACAAGGCTGGTTTCAGGAGGTCAGGGCAGATCAGAAAGGGGACCTGCAGGGACAGGGCATCATTTGGTTGAAGGCAGGCAAGTGTGGGATTGAGGGGTGCAGCCAGGGGATTTGGCAGTGCCAGCAGGGCACCTGCAGCCCCCCCGTTCCCCCTGCCCCTTCCCTGGCAGCTGGCTTTGGTGATAGAGCTCACCCGGCCTTCCAGCAGGACCACCCACCTCATGCCAGGGTGTGTGACAGCATCTCCCTGAATTCTCTATGTTTAAGGCTCTGCCCTGTGTGCATGAGCACATACACAAAGAAACCCACCTAGCAAGCCATGTGTGCTCACACACACGTGTGTGCACACAAACGTGCACATGTGAACATGCATGCACATGGACGTGCACCAAAACAGCCCCAGTCATCCACACATACAGCTGTGCACAGAAACATCTGCACACTGTTACATGTGCACACACAAATTAGCCTCAGGAAGCACAGGGTCCCCCCAGCCAATTCCACGTGTGCGAGATAAAAAGGCAGAGCACTGCCCATTCCCACTTAACACTCTTGCAAAAAGATAATGGGAACAAGATTTCCTTCGGCAAAACGCGGCGCCCTGCTCCCCCCGCCCTGGCCCCCTCCCCATGCCGGTAAATTGAGGTTGGGTGAGAGTTTTTCCAGGCGTACTGTGAAATTCATTAACATGTCAGCCTGGATTTAACTGTCCAAGCCTGGCTTTGGGGCCGTGTGAAGTTGCCTCCCCACGGCCGGCAGCGCCAGTGGGAGCTTCACCCCACACAGTTCAAACACTCCCTTGCCCACTTTGGCACTCGGGTCACAGAGATGCCAAGAGAAGAGAGCCAGAGAAAACCCCAACTGTAAAAAAGAGCTTTTCTGGAGGCTTGAGTGGAGCGGAAGGTTGGTGCCAGCACCACGCGCTCAAACCTCGGCTGCCCCTGGAGCTCCCCCCGTGGTATGAGATTAGTGACAAATCACATGGCAGGCATCAAAATAACACCCGGTGCAGCCGTAGGTGCCTTTGGGGGCTTGTGCCTTTTGAGTTTGTTTTTTTTCCCTGGTGCTAGAAGAAAACAAAGATTTTTGAGGCAAATTCTGGGTTGTGGTACGTTGAGGGAGAGAAGCAAATACAGCTCAAAGTCTCAGGCAGTTCAGGATGCTGCTGAGTGGGGGATGCTGACACTCAGCTGGGCTTTGTCAGGGCCAAAAGAGACACAGTGAAGTATCCTGACATCCACGACGCTCTTGCACTCTCCAGATAACAGGACAGGGACAACCCAAGGTGGTTTTTGCTGCTGAACTGAGGCAGCTGCACAGAACTGTGGCAAAGGAGCAATTTTTGGGAGTAGAGGGTCCATGTTATCCCTTTGCAGCACTGAAAGGCAAGTTGGGTCACACCAAAAGGCAGCTTTGTGTCCCTCTGGGAATGCCCCCAGCATCCTCTGGGGAAGGAGAGGGGCTGGCAGCCCAGAGGGAGACGATGGGCAGTGGAGGAGAAGAGTTGGGTAAATGATTCACCACCCTTGGTGCAGGTCCCTCTCTGCCTCCAGTTTAATTGGTGAGGGAGTAACTGGCTGGGGCCTTTTCCTGGCATCACTGATCCCAGCACGTCCTGGGCAGCCCCAGGACCACCTTTCTCTGGGAACATGCTGCAGATCCTCTGATCCTACCAGGAGCTGGGTTTCAGAGAAGAAACCTCCCCTTGCTGCCCAGCATCGTCCCCTCTCCTTCAGGCAGCTGTGGGCCAGGTGTCGGCAAACTGCCACCACCTTAGCAGAATTCTGGAGCCATACTGGGCAGCCAACAAGGGGACCTGGCTGGGCTTGGCCATGCAGGGTTGGGTGGCTGTCCCCACCCAGGGACAGGGTCACAGCAGCACGCGTGACCGTCTCCTCACCCCCCGGCGCAGCCATCCAGCGCTAATCGGGCAGACGGGTCCCCCTTACCCGGCTAAATACTCTCACTGTTCCTCAAGCTGAGGCAGTTGCAAGCTCTGTCTGTCTCCCGTTAATCACTAATTAAAGGCTTGAATGTTCCCTGCTGTTTGGGGTATTAATAAGAATTTAATTGCACAGTTTGGGGCTAATTATGTGGCAGCTCGCTTCCACCCTTGTACAGTATGCCCAATTAAACAATCATATGATCAATTAAACAATCACAAGATCTAATAATTTGCAATAATAGACTAATTAAATGTTGACACCTTGCAATGGAGCAACCTTCTGTCTCCCTTTTGATAGTGTTTGAACCCCTGCCACAGCCACCCCAAAACCTCTCCTCCTCTGGGCTGCTGTGGATGGAGAGCCTGGAATGATGGCACAAGGCGCTTTGGGATGGACCCTGGCACGGGACAGGCAGTGCCATTCACCGCGCCACGCGTGTGGCAGGCGATGGAGCCCACAGAGCAGGAGTGGGGCTCACCACCCCTACAAATTCCCTGGGAATAATTAGGGAAGGCAGCTGGATCAGCGAAACCCTAGACTGGCTGCCGCTGCCAACCCACAGCAGATTCGAGCTACGCCCCTGCTTTGGCTGGAGGAGAGCCTATCTGGGACACGGGGCAGGTTGAGGCTGCACCTCCACTCTGGGCATGGGAGCCCAGACCAGAGGAGCCCCTTCCCTCCCACCCACACTGCCCCTCCATCCTGGGGAAGATGTTGGGAGAGAGGGCCTGGGGCTCACTCTGCTGCTGCCCGGAAGCAGGAGGAGAAGCAGAAGGAGAGAGCCCTACCCAAGGGGCTGCAAGGGGCAAGGCTGAGCTACTCCTGCCCCATCCCAGGAGGAGTAGGACTCAGGATGGTCAAAGAAGTGTTAATCCCATCTGCCAGGGTGGCTGCCATCTCCTGCACCCCAGATCTGCTGGGATACCGCACCCCATGGGACGCAGATGCCCAGGCAGGGGCAGCAGGGGAATGCTGTCTGCTTGCCCACCTCCTAAAGCTGTCGCCTTCCCCTTGCTCTCCCCAGGGCAGGACCATGGCTGGTGGTGCTGGGAACACACCGGCTTTCCAGTACGTCTACTGGGGAGCAGGTACGGAGAACCCCATTGGGGGAACTCACAAAGGAAGGGGCAAACACATACAGGAAGGGGCAGAGGACACAGGGGAATTACATGTGATCTTCCAAATCCCACCACTGCTCTGGGGTTTGGTGTTTTCAGGCACTGGCATCCTGGCTGGACCACCACATTCCCCCGGCTCAAAGTGGAGGGAGCATTAGCCAGTGAGGTCTTCCCAGGAGAGCACAGCCCCTTCCCCGCCGAGGCCCCGGATCAAAGCAAGGCCCGGGCATTATCCTGGTGCTCCGGGGAGTGCTCCCGCCGCGACGGCCACAATGGGAACAAGAGCTCCCGCATCACCAGCGAGTGCATCAATTACTTCCAGTGGCTGCCTCGTGCTAATCCGCTTCCCCTCCTTCCCCAGGCCGGGTGTTTGGGGGCCAGGCTGCCGAGGGGGTGACCGGGCTGTCCCCAGCAGCTCACGGGTGCAGGCCGGGACCGGCAGCGGTAGCCGGGAGGAGGAGGTGAGAGTCTGCAAGGATAAAGCTGCTGCATCACGTGGGGGTCGCCGGGATTTGGCGTTACTGCTCCCGCCAGCCTCCCTGCTGGGATTATCCTTCACTGAGCCTGTCCTGGGCTAAAAGCTGGGGGGGACACACAGAGGGGGACACATGCCCCTCTTTCCCTGCCCTGGGCACACCAGAGGGCACACAGAATCCCAATATTAGCAGGACAAGCTCCCTGTGGGACATGCAGCCCTTACAGGGTATCAGGAGAACCCCAGTGCCTTTGGCCCAATAGCCACACCCTGTAACCACCAGGCACAGGGCCATGCACCCTGCAGCACTGTGCCCTCTTGCCAAGCCTGCAGCATGGCAAATCCACTGCCACTGTCCTGGCTGTGACATTCCCAAACCTGCCTGCTTGCCAAACTCCCGCTGACCCCCTTAACACAGCCATGTCCCCACAACTGCCACAGCCACAGTGGGGTTGTGTCTTGTGCCGATGCTCAGGCCTCAGGTGGCACTGGGCTGTTTCATGTCTGCATTTCCCAGAGACAAATTCTGATGAAATAAGAAATGGATGTCCCAGCATCGTGCCATGCTATAGGACATCTGTTTGTTCCCATGCTGCAGCAGGCAGACTCCCATGCCCTGGAGGGAGACAAACTCCCAGGCAGGGTGCTGGGGAGCACAGAGTCAAGAGGTGACACATCCCAACATGACCTGAAGCTGTACCAGCTCCACGGCTCCATTCTCACTCACTTTCAGGGTGCTGCAACTCCCTATCCTGCCCCTCAGCTGCCAAGCTCTGCATCCACCCACCCTCCTTCTTCTCCTCCTCCCCACTCCCCAGCCACGCCTGGCATCCACCACCGTGAGCTAACATCACCGATGCCCGACCGCAGGACAGAGTCCGGAACAGCCTCCAGGCTGAGCAAAGGGAACTTCCCGGGCAGCCTCTCCTTTTAATTGGTGCTAATTGCTGCGTCTGTTCGTGCTGGCTGGGGAGATGTCATTGTTGAAAGGCACAGAGGGGAAGGCTTGGGGAGCTAATCCAGCTTTCAGCCGCTAAGCCCTTCGGAGGCGGGTGATGGAGAAGCTCTTTCAGGTCCCTTCAGAGAGGGTACAAAGCCCGAGAGGGGAAAGGGAGAAAGAGGGGAGCGAATCAACAGGAAAAAACTACTTTCACACGCAGCTCGGGGAAGGCTCTTTGTTTGCGGGGCTGTCGCGGGGGGGGGGTGCCTGAAGGGACCACGCGGCGCTCCCACCTCCTCTTCCCTCCCTCGTTTATCTTTTCAGCCCCATCTGCCACAGGGGGGACGGGATCTGCAGCTGGGGGCAGGATGCTCAGAGAAACACTCTGCAACGCGGGACTCTCACCTCACCATGGACAAGATGGACAGAAAACCTGCAGATGCTCCCCCAAAACAAGCCCCCTCTGGTTTAACCCCATATGTGCTGGCAGAGCCACCTCCACTGCTGTCCCACTGCTTTACTGGAGGATGTGGTGCTGAGGCAGATGTGGTGCGGGATGGCACAAGGGAGGCAGCCAGCAGGTGGAGGTCCCCCTTCTGTCCCAGGGGTTTCCATGGGCTCACGCACCTGCTGGAGGCCTCCTCTGCCCGACCTGCAGCAGCCCTGGGCAGGGTGCAGAAGGGAGGGTTTTTTGTGAGCTCTCATCTTTCTGAGACAAGTGGGAAAACACAAGGGCTGATACATTCCCACAGTGTGTGAGGTGGTTTAAAGCATCAGCTCTAGCACTTGCTTTGAATCCACTACCTTTTCAGCCATTCTGAGAAGAAATCTGCTGTAACATGTATATATTGAAGCAGACAGCTGGGATCTCAACAAGGCATCGATCACAAATACTAACAAGTCCTTCTGACCTTTGGCACATCACTGAGCCTTTCAGAGGCTGACTAATGGTACAGCTTTCCCTTGTCTCCGTCCTCTTGCCACCCCCTGAGACCTGGGCTCCAGTCCAGGAGGAGTGAGAGGCTATTCCTCCCTCTCCCAGACCTTTGCAGGACTCTGGCATCCCCCTGCCCCATTCCAAACCGGGAAAAAAAGGCAAAAAATCTCCACCAAAATCCCACAAAGATTCATAAGTGGGACAGCCAAGCGACATCAGTGTCATGTTTTGGAAATGTTTCATTTTGATGACAATATTTTTAACCCATGGAAACCTTTGCAAGGACAAACAAGCTAAAACCACCACACCAGAGTGAATATGAAGAACGAAATGTCAAATTAGGATATCTCCAGTATTTCCTCAACCCCTGCCAGGTTTTTCTGCCTGATCCCTGTCCCCAAGCACATCTTGAAGGGGACACTGCAGTTGCCTCTCAGGCACAGGGACAACTGGTTTGCTGCCCAAGGGAAACACTGCAGAGGGGCATCCCACACTAAGGTTTGCTGACCAGCTGAAAGACATCTGTGATTTTTGGGAGGGTTTTGGTGCTTTGGTTCATGGCTGAATCACTGCACTTCTGAGGGGAAACCTACAGCAAAGAGAGGGTGAATGGTTCACTGAATCAGAATATGCCAAGTTGGATGGGACCCACCAGCATCATCGAGTCCAACCCTCAGTCCTGCACAGGCCCATCCCTAAGAGTCACCCCCTGTGCCCCAGAGGATCATCAAACACTCCTGGAGCTCTGGCAGCCTTGGGGCTGTGCCCACTGCCCTGGGGAGCCTGTTCAGTGCCCAACCACCCTCTGGGGGAAGAATCTTTTCCTGAGATCCAACCTAACCTAACTCAACTTCAGGCCATTCCCTATGTCCTGTCCTTGGTCCCTACAGAGCAGAGCTCAGGGTCTGCCCCTCGTCTGCCCCTCCCCAGGAAGTTGTAACTGCAATGAGGTCTCCCTGAGCCTTTCCCAATCCTCTGGCAAGGGGGATGCTCCCCAGTCTCTCCAGACAAGCACAATCGCTTTGGCTCAGCACCCATCAATTCCTCCCCCAATGACCTGTTGTAGCATTTGAGCCCCAGGAAACAAAAAATACTTGAAAGACCCTTACCCAGACACTCGTTGGCCTCGCGGGCGCTGGCGCGCTGCCAGGGCCGGTCATAGTGGAAGGGCTTGCAGCGGTCGCACTCGGGGCCCTCCGTGTTGTGCTTGCAGTCGCACACCAGCTTCTGCTCCTTGTCCTTCACGCAGCGTGCCGCGTGCCCGTTGCACTTGCAGCGCCCGCCCACCTGCAGCTCCCCCACTGCGTAGTAGTAAGGGGTCGAGCTGGCGCCCCCGCCCTCCTCCTCCCCAGTGTCCCGGCTGCCCAGGTCGCGGAAGAGGTGCGGGCGGCTGAAGACCACGCGGATGTCGGTGGCCGTCACCCAGTCCTGGAGCACGGGGCTGCTGTCGAAGTCCTGGGCGGAGGGTCGCCCGTCGAGGGTGCTGAAGGCAATGAGCCCGCCGGTGAGCGGGTACAGGTCGGTGAGGCCGTCGGTGCACAGGGCCTCCTGCTCGTTCTGCTTGGTGACAGTGGCTTTGCTGGGCTTGCCGTAGATCTTGCGGCACTGGGAGGAGTAGTACTGGTACGGCACCCAGGTCTTGCCGTAGTCCATGGACTTGAGGATGGCAGTGGACTCGGGCCGGGGCGAGCAGAACTGGAGGCTAACATAGACCACCTCAAACTTTTTGCCGAGGGAGAGGGTGAGGGTGACATTCTGGGGCGAGTGGTGGAGGGTCTCCGAGCGCCAACACGTCATGTTGGAGGCAGTGTTGAGGTCAGTCAGGTAGGCGGGTGGGTGGGCTCGGCGGGGGTCTGAGGCGTTGCAGTGCCGTGTTGGGGGCTTCCCGCACGTGCTGGAGGCTTGGACCTCCTTCCCGAAGGCAGCATTGACAAATTCAGGGATGCAGCGGCGAGGAGCACCGCTCTCATCGTAGCAGGGGTCTGGGGGGGTCTGCTGGGCCACAAAGGGGTTCACTGTCTGGGAGAGGCCCAGCATGGCGGTGGTGAGGAGCAGGCGCAGGAGCTGCAGGATCTCCATCCTCCTGGGGTGGGGGAAGTGGCTCCTCTCTGGAAGAAGAGCAACAAGAGTGAATAGTGTTGGCAGTGTCACGAGCCCATGTTAGGGGGACTGGTAAGGGATGGGAAACACCCTCATGGCTGGTCCTTCACCTGTGCCCACCCTCCCACCCCACATTCACTGATACACCATGCTGGGAGTGGGGCAGGGAGGTGATCCCTTTGTGCTGCCTTATCCACACCAACCCCTCACTGCTCATCAGCAGGAGTGTAATACCCTGGGAAACAGCAAAAGGAGGTGAGCTTTGGATGGAGGAGGTTGGAATCAGGGTGCAGCCCTTCTCTGGCCTCTGACAAACCATCCTGGGGTGACAGGAATGTTCCTGCCTGCCAGCAGCTCTGGCTGTCACACACAGTTTCAGAGACCCCTGTCACTGCACATTTGACTGGTGGTTGAGAAGAGCTGGGGAGACCTTCCAGCTGCAATAGGAGCTGCAAACTCCCAGTTGTCCAACTGCAGCACAAAACAACTACTGACAGTGCAGGAGAAAGGAACAGCAGTAAAAACACCTTGGAGGCACATTTTGCAAAAGGCAGGAGGAGCTTGTTGTGATGAAGCCCTGGGGCTCCTAGGCACAGCATCACTTTCCTTGCTGGCCATGGCACAGCGGTTTCTCCAAGTCAGGGGCTGGATCCCCACCAAATTCCTCTGCCACGTTACCTGTGTAATCCCAGGGGCAAAAGTAGGTTATTCTGGCCTCGCCCCCAAGAAATCCAGGTCTGCGTCTGGCCTGTCAGCTGATGGAGAGAAAGGCCAGGACCAAACGCAGGGCCTGGGTGGGCTCCTCTCCCAGCAGCTGCAGCACAGGACCAAGGAGCTGAGTGGCTCCTAGGGGATGTGCCCCATCTCCTGTGTCACTGGCTCAAAGAGTGGAAGAGGGATGGGAGGTCACATTCCCTTCTGCCAGCTCTGATTGCAGCAGGAACATCCCACACGATGCAGATTGGCCACATCCCATCGTGTGAGTGGCCACGGCTCATGCAATCACCAGGGAATGGCTCTGAGTGCTGCAGCTGGTGGCAGACACGTGAGCTGCCCAGATGGGTGGGTGGCATCAGCCCTGCCATCCTACAGGGTTGTGCTGAGCCAAAGCCAAGTTCTTCAGCCTCTACCAGCCCATGCCATAGTCCAGTAGGAGGAAGGAATCCCCTCATCGTCCTCTCTTCCACTAATAAATCCTTACAGGATAACTTGGGATTTGTGTTTCACTTTGAGGAATGAAGCTCTGTGCCAGCAGGAAAACCCAGCCCAGCATCCCCAGCTCTGCCCCCACCTACAGCCCCAATGCTGCTCCTGCCCATCCAGCTGCCCATTCTGGCCAAAGGAGGCGGCAAGGGACAGCCCATTTCAAATGATTCAGGACTTTTTTTTGTTTGTTATTCCATTTTGCAAATTAAAAGGATCTATGACTGTGGAAGAAAGCTGCCTCTCCAGGCTGCCAAACCACAAATGAGAGGATGCTCCTCCTTGTGCAGCCACACTCAGCCCAGCAGCCAGAGCCTGCTGAGGGGGCAAGAGGGACAGGGGTCTTGGTCTGTCCTAGGACATCGTCCCCAGGACAAAACCTGCCTCTGCCACTTCCGTGCTGTTTCCTCACTGATTAATCCTCTGTTGTTGGAAAAGCTGATGCTCACTGGAGAATAATTGGCAGCTCCCTTGGTGGTCCCTACATCCCCCCAGCAGCACAGTCCCCGCTTTACGGCAGTGCTGCAGAGCCTTTTGGGGGCATGTCAGCCCATGGCTCAGTGACTTGGCGGCCAGCAAGACAAAGGATGTTGTCCCTGGAGCACTGACAACCTACATGAGGAGTGTGGCTGCAGGATTGGAGACTGCAGGGACACAGCAGTCATCAAAGCAGAGGAGGCATCTTGCCACAAGCACCAGGCAGTGAGGAGCATCCCCTGGTGCAGGCAGCCCACAGGGACCCTCAGCCCCACTGCAGGCAGCTGCCTCCTGGGCAGGAGACGAAGCCATGGTTGCTGCCAGTTCCCTGGTATCTGCCTGTCCAGGGACTGTTGAGCAAAGGCTGCAACTGGTTAATCCCACAGCACAATCCCAACTGGATCAGTGGGCAGTGAGCCAGAGCCCCTGCCAGCCCACCAGGAGAACCCTGCTCCTGTACTCACACCCAGCAAAGGGGGCTGCAGAGTGCTGATGGACCCTGCTCAGTGCCCAGCAAGACCTGGCCGTGCACATTCCTGCAGAGGCCAGCACAGCACCTTCAGCCCTGTGATGCTGCCAGTGCCCCCCCATCATCTCCATCCCACAGCACACCCCACAGAGGGGACCCAGTCGGGTGCTGCTGCCACCACCTCCCATCCCACCACCCCTAGGGCAGCATGTAGTGTGAGACAACCCTGTAGGAAAACATCTGCATCAGGAAGAGAGAGGTGAAACCTCCAGAGGTGCCTCAGCAACTTCATCCATCCACTTCAGGGGGACTCAGGATGTATAGAACAAGGCACCTACTAAACCCTGCCAAGGAGGAGTCTCCTCCACCCTTTGCCCCTCTGCTATGTGGCAGCAAGGTGACAGGGCTAGGGACATGCTCAAGCATACCACCTGTAAAGGCCTTCTAATTCCCTATCTGGTAAGACACAAAGGTGTGGGGAAACCCCTGGCCAGGGGAGAGTGACAGCAGCAGAACCTTTAGTGGCCAGGGGAGAGCCCAAAGGTGAAGCAACTATGAGCACTGGGGCAGCAGATGTAGGACCCAGGACAGGGTTACCCCTGGTTTTGGGTTGGGGGGGGGGGGCACAAGCATCTGCTGCTCATCCTCCCTGCCCTGATGGAATGCTCTGTCCCTCCTGCCAGTCTTACCAAGTCCCTGGAATTCAGTGCCAAACTTCTGGGGCCTCTGCTGCCAGGGAGCAGCCCTCGGGGAGCCAAGGCTCACCCAGCAGTGCGACGGCGCTGCAGAGGCAGGGCATGAATGGAAATCATTATCATCCCCAGGACCACACACAGGCACGCACACTCCGTGCTCAGCTTACCCCATTATCCCACTGAAAGAGAGCCGGGGCCAGTGGTCTCCGTGGGCCTCACCTCCGTATCGGAGAGGAGGGCAAGATGCAATCTGCTCCCTTTTATGCATATTCAGCATGACCCTGGGAGTGCCGGCAAACTGCCAGAGAGGCCTGGGAGTGGGTATTTCTCTCCCCAGTCCCCATGTGCCCCCTTTTCCAGTTCCCATCTTTGCTGCTCCCGGTTCAGTTCAAACGGAGACACTGCTGACTAAGCAGAGAGAAATGGGATGACCCCTCGGTGCCAAATCCAGCCTGGCATACGCCTGGATCTGGCACGAGGAGGGACATAAGATATGGAGTGCCTTTTGCAGTGACAACATCCCGAAGGTGTCCCCAGCGAGGCTCTCCTGTGGCTGTCGGCTCGCTGCCACCAGCAGCACCCGTGGGCCGGGGCTCACCCTTCCCGAGGAAGCGGCCGCCCTCCCAGCTCCTCCCCAGAAGCGCCTGCATTTTTGAGGTGGGCGATTTCCTCACTCCTCTGCTCGGGGAATGCTAACAGCCGTGCGGCTTGGAAGGAAGTCACGCCGCCGGAGTGCTTCAGAAGTGCTTTAAAAAAAATTAGCTACCACATCCAACGCCTCCACACCCCTTCTCCCTACAGCCACACGCTTCCCAGAGCGACCAGCAGCGCTTTCCTGCCTTGTGAGAGACTTGTCAGGGCGATGCTCCAGCCCACTGTGGGTTCCTTTCCCATCGTCTTTCCAGGAGGCAGGGCTGCTGAGGGTGATGCCGGGCACAGATGCATGCCTAGAGCTCCAGGTCTCTTGATGCTGAGCCATGGGGTGGGTGCTTGGTACCCAAAATAGAATGCACAAGACAAGTGCAGCAGGTGAGGCAGGGCAAGGAGAGCAAACTTCCCACAACACAGACGCTGGTGCCTACGGCAGGCCCAGGGTCACCACCCAGCAGACCAGGGGCCGTGGCAGCTTTGCCGAGGTAATTACAGGATTAAGTGAAACAACACGAGATAGGGATGGAAGGGGGTTATTTGCCAGATTTGATCCCAGGACCTTTGCTGCACCGGAGCAGCCTTCTCTAATTAAAGCAGAGGTGAAGGTGTGAGTGGTGCTCTGCTGTTGCAAAAATGTGAGCTTAGAGGGCCAGCAGTGACTAAAGCTGAGCAGCCAGCACTGCCTGGGAGTGGAGGTGGAACGCCCCAAGGGATGACAGGGGAATGGTGCTTCCTTCCTGCCAGGGACATGCACTGCTCCCCCCAATTTTTCTCACCAATACTACTGACATGGTCCAGCTGGATGGGTTTCTGCTCTGGACCAGGACAGTGCAGTGCATGGAATACTTGCATCACCTGAGAAAAGCATGTGGCCTTACTTGGAACTGGCTGAGATAGGAATAACTGGTCCCCACAAGGTGCTGCATCACCCTGTGCACAGGGGTGAGGTCCTGGGTGCCAGCGCGGGACAGGGACAGAGCCATACCCCCACATGCGGCATGAACATGCTCCTCATTGCACAGCAGAGCTGTGGAGCAGCAGGCAGATTCCTGGGCAAGGACCAAAGGACCTGACTACTTAAGGGGGTCCAACAACTAAATCCAAAGTCCAACAACTAAATCCTCCCTAAGATGTGGCATACCCAGTAAAGCCCACCAGCACCTCAGGTGCCATCTGAGCAAGAGGGCACTAGGGGAATGGGATGGGACTCAAAGCAGAAGAGGAATGATGTGCTCAGAGAAGCTGTAACCAGGCACAAATGATGAGAGCATGTCCCTTAACCAGGATGTACCTGCTACCACACTCTGCACTTTTCCACCTCATTATGGGTCCTTCCTAATGAGAGCATCTGCACTCCCTTGCCACACATGCTGTGGGAGTGACCCCCTGCAGATCTGCCCTAGACCATGAATAAGACCCATCTTGGGGGGCTGGGGGGGTCCCTGGGTACCCAGGTCCCTCACCCACCATGACAATGCCAGCTAGGGGAAGCTTCATTCCCCTCACCCAACAAGCAGAATGCATCAGGACCAAACTGCGCTTCAGTCATGGATAAATCATTCCATGTGTCTCTGGGACATAAAAACACAACCGAGAAGTATTTAAAGTGAAAGGAAAAACCCCATGCAGCCAAGGTGCTGGTCCAGGCTCAGCTTTCCAGAGGCAGGGAGAGGCTGGAGGGATGTAGTGCAGCTGGTAGTGCTAATCGCCTTCCCAGCCACTAATGGAGCAACCAGTGCCCACTTGGGACATGGCTAATGGCACTGAGGAGATGCCTTGCTTTCCTTTACACACTCTCTCCTCTCTTCTGACATTTAAGCATCAGAAGCTCCTGAGCGCTCACGGACCCACATCTGCAGAGTTGGCCTCTCTGCACAGCCCCTCGGGCTTTCAGCCCCCCGAAGGCACAGCTCATGGGGGCAATTACACGGCAGCGTCTTCCTGCAGCAGGCACTCGGGGTGATAGATCCTGAAACACACTCTGGCAGGTCGAAACCAGAATGACACAAGCCATACGATACCCCGGCGGTGCCAGGAGACGTGTACAAATTACTCTACAGGAAAGGATGGGCCAGATTCTGACCTCAGCCCTTTGGCATCGGCCCGAAGTAACTCCATTCACATCAGGCCAAACCAAGACGTAAGCGACTCCATTCAAATTTACACTGGCATACCTGTGGTCAGGATCTGGCCTGGCTTGAATTAGTTGCAGCCTGATGTTACAAAAGGCAGAAATGGAGCCCAAATTTCCAAGGTTATTGAAAACAACCAAAAAATAAAAGAAAAAGAATTCCACCATGAAGCAAACAGTCCCCAGGCCACTCAGCCATGTGCATGGAGCTGTCAAAGGTGGGATGCTCGGACACATCCTTGCTCATCAGTTTTGTTAACTCATAAGCCACACTGACCACCGAAAGGAGGGACCAGCACCCAGCATGGGTGCCCTGCTGAGTCCCCCATGCCTTCTCTGCTCACCTCCTGGGTAGAGGTGGTCCTGCTGCCAGGAGGAGAGACTTCAGCAGGGTATCACCCATATGATGCAGAGCCGAAATCATTTTGCTCCAACACTTGCACCCCCCAGCCAGTACAAGCTGGAAATCTCCTCATGCTTCCAGTGCAACAGCAGCTCAAGGAGGCATCTGGAGCCCTTGACCCTGCAGGAGCAGCAAGCACTGTCTGGATGCATTTGGACTTAAAAATCCTTGTGGATCCCTTCCAACTTGGGGTATTCTATGATTTTATTCTACCCTATTTATTAACCTCTACTACAGCTTGACCAGTTGTTTTACCCAACTCTAATCGCAGCCCAGCTCTCTGAAACCCTTCACCCACTCCTGCCATGGTGCTTGGCTCTGTCAAGTGCTCCCAGCAGCATCCTTCAAGGTGAGAGGATTTTCCTCCCACTGCTTCCAGCAGATGCATGGAACTCATGCAGTCCACTCATGCAGTCCCAGTCTAGAAGTCCTCATTGCTTCAACCCCTTTCCACTCCATATGGGAATAAAGTGATCTGGTTTCCATAATGTCTCTCACTGCCTTTTCGCAACATGCCAGGCACAGATGTTGAAAATAGTCTGGATGAATATTTAAAATGGTATTCAGAGATGACAACATTTGGCCGGTTTTGAAAGATCTCTCACATTGGGCAGAGGATGGCTCATGACAACGGGCCGGAAACACGCTGCACTTTGACATCTCTTTTTTTTCACCCCTTCTCTGGCTATTGGTACGATATTTCATGCCCCTGGTGTCCCACAGGCTGTTATTACTTGAGTGCCAGCCAAGCCTGCAGCATTTGGAAGAAGCTGTCACGTACGTTTTTAAACATCACGGGGCAAAGAGAAATATGGAAAATCTGTCGTGTTTCCATACCGAGCACGAGTGTCCTGCGCAGGCTCAGGGAGGGGCTTGAAGGGGCACAAAATAATTGCTTCCTTATGGAGTGGGGCCTGACTAACAGGGTGGGGGAACAGGAGGCAGGGGTGCTGCGGACACCCTCGGCACTGCAGGCTGCTTCCCTGCTGAAGGCATCTCAACACGTGCCCCAAGGTCTGCACTGGTGCTCAGCTCCTTCTTCAGGGCTGGGAAACATCTCTTGGACGCACACCTCTGCCAACCAAGGTGGGAGCTCAGTCCCGGCTGACCCAGGCTGAAGGCATCATGTTCTGGTGCTCAGGGAGCAGTGGAAATGCTCCTCAACCTCGACACCTAGCAGTTTGCGGTTTTGGTGAGCTCCTCATGTTCAGCTGCATCCATAGGCCTGGCTTCTCTTTTCCACAGGCTGCAGACACACCTCAGCTCTTTCCCAACCTGGCATTACACTTGCTCTCTTCTCTGCAGGGACCCACCTTGCCCTCCTCCTACCACACACAGGTGGAGGAAGGGGCGTTGGAATCCCCAAAGCCCACCCCTCTCTTGGCCTGCTGGACCTCCTGTCCCCTCACCAGCCCGCTCCAACCAGGTGAGTAGAGCAGCACAGCAGCTCCCTCTGTTTTGTAAATGAGATACTACAGAAAGAGAGGAAAAAAAGTTGTCCTCCATCCACCCAAACACCTTGGAGGGTGTTTTCAGAGGACAGCTGAAGCCACATCCCTCTGCACCGGTTACAGAGAGCTCCAGCCTCTCCTGGCTCAGAGACAAGCAACAGCAAACCTGGCCAGGGAAGAAGGACCTGTGGCATTTCCAGCCATGCGGGGTTTGCACATCCTGGTCTACACTCAGTATCATCTCAGCCCAGCTACAGTCCAACAAACACAGCACAGATGGAGATGCTCAGCCCAGCTCACATCCCATACACTCGTGGGGTGAGCTCCCTGAGAGGGGAGCATCCATGCCCAAGTGCTGCCCAGATGAGCAGCAAGCCAGCAGGACCACTGCACTGCCAGAGGAGCTCCTGCCCCTGTCCACGGGGCCTTCCTCACCCACCATGCTTGGCGAGGCAGCAGACTGCCAAGCACCACGTCCCCCATCACACCAGTTATTCCTTATCCCAAGAAAGGTATTTCCACCCACCCACTCTCCAGTGGGCCGGGGAAGCTGTGGGTGGGACGTTTTGAGGAAATGAGGGTTCAGCAGCTCCAAGAGAAGAAAGCAAACACAAACCTACCAAATGCAGCCCAGCCTCCCTTCTCCCCGTGCTGCCGCCCGCTCGCACGTGCCCTGCCCAGGCTGCTCTCACCCCGGCTGTCGCCCAGGGCAGGGGGCTGGGGGTGCCGAGGGTCTCACCCAGCTCAGCCCAGCACTGCAGAGCAGCCGAGCCCATCACGCAGGGGCTGTTTCCAGAGGGAGCACACCCTCTGAGCCACCGCGGGGCCTCTCTGTGTGCCGGGAAGGGACCGACGATAGCCCCAAGCCTGGGATGGTGGCAAGGGCGATGCCGGCCGCCAAGGTGGCTTTGTGCGGTGGAGCGCCCGGGCTGAGAAGGGCCTGCGGCGGGAGCTGCGGGCAGGGGAGCACGTGTGCGCCCCGTGCCCCTCAGCCGGGGCTGCCATCGCAGGCACGGCCTGGCAGCGCTCCCGCCGCTGCCCGCACCGCACCCGCACCTAGCGGGGCCGGGGCTGCGACACCGCGGGGCTTCGTACAGCGCCGAGCACCCGCACGGCCCCCGCCAGCTCTGCAGGGCGGCCGCGGCGAGCCGGGCCGGGCCGAACCGGGCCAGAGCGCGGAGCGGCCGCGGCCGGAGCTGCCCGGGGCCGGGAGCGGGGCTCGGCAGCGGGCGGGCGGCCCCGCTGCGGGGAGGTCCCGTCTTCGGCGGTGAAAGGATGGAAAGGGAAATAAAGGGAGGGTGAGTGCGGGGGGAGAGGGAGGAATAAAAGGCAAGGAGGGAGGGAGCGGTGGGGAGGAGAGCGGGAGCAGGGAGCGCCGAGAAGTTGGGAGCGCAGCTTACCGCGGCCGGGCAGGTAGCGGGGCCGGTCCGGGCGGCAGGTCCGGGAGCGGCGGCGAGAGGAGCCGGGGCCGCGGCGGAGCGGGCGGGGACAGCCCCTTCCTGGGGCTGAAGAAAGGAAAAAAAGTAAAGAAAAGGGGGAAAAAAAAGCAATAATAACAAAATTTCCAGGGAAGTGTGTGTGTGTGTGAGCAAAATAAGGCGAAATAGTGGAAAGCGGGAGCGCTGCTCCCGGCGGTGCGGGCGGGTCCCAGCGCCGTGCCCGCAGCCGGCCGCGCTCCCACCCGCTCCGCCGTACCGCCCGCGGCTGCTTCGGCTGCGGGAGGGAGGGGGGAAGGCGGCAGGGGAGGGCGAAGAGGAGAGGAAAGGGAAAACAACAACAACAAAAAATAAAACCTTAGGAAAAAAAGAAAAAAGAAAAGAAAAGCAAGAATTGGAGAAACTGAGCTTCCACCGCTGCCTGGAAGCGGAGTAAAAAGGCTCCAATAAATCCCGGGTTGAAAAGAAGGGAAAAGTCACCTCCCCGAGGAAATCAGAAGCAGATTTCGAGCCATTTAATCACATGCAGGGAGGTGTGTGCGTGTGCGCCGCCCGCCGCCGCTGCCAGCCCTGCCTCCGCCCTCCGCCCCGCCGGCAGCCCAGCGGGCAGGGCTGGGCCGGGCGGGGAGCCCTCCCCACGGGTGTCCCGGTGGCCGTCCCACCACCGGGAAGCCCTCCCCGCCGGGCACTGCCGCGGGAGTCCCGGTGGCCGCGGTCCCACCTGCCGCCCGGGTGGCCCCGCCGCACCCCGGGAGTTCGCCGAGCCCGCCGCGGGTCCATCCCTGCGGTGTGCGGGGAGCTGCGGGGCGTAGCCCACCGCGCCGAGGGCTCAGCGGTGCCGCAAGGGAGGCAGCCGGTTATCCTCCCTTGGTTTCCCAAAGCGAATGAGGGATTTACCAGGCGGGAGCAGCTCCTCTTATGGAGGAGGCTGGAGTCTCCAATCCATCCAGTAGTGCGGGGCCTTTTCACGCACTGCTGCACCAGGGCCGCCCTTGGTCTCTGATTTTCGGGCGGGGGAAGAGAAATGGGGCACTTCCGTGCCCAGCACAGCTGCCTCCGGGCTGCCCCGCCATCCCCAGGCCACCTGCGAGTGGGGCAGGAAAAAGGTGAAACTAATTTAATCAGTTTGTGTGAGGCGGTGGAGGAGAGCAGAAAACCCGGACCTGGATCCCCTCCTTCACCGCGGTCGTGTTCACAGCCCTGCAGCCCCCACATCGGCCTGGGGAACATCCTATTGTAGATGCTGTGGCAGTGGATGTGAGGACTGAGGACAGCACCGGCGGTGGGGAGAAGGGCAACGTGCCAGCACAGTGTTCACCCGTTATGTTCAAAGCTCCCACCCACCATCACCCTGCTCCCAGAGGACTCTCGTTACCCACATCCTGTTGCTCTGGGGCAGCAGGTTGCAGGAGCAGCTCTCCCAGCCGGCTGGCAGATGCTTGCTGAAGGCGCAGACCCCAGCTGGCCTCGAGCCCCAGGGGAAATGCTGTTTGCTGTTCTCTGCCTTGTTGCACAAAACACATCTCCCCCCTTGTTCAGCAGCAGGGACACAGATAAACAAGGGCAAAGCCATCAGGAGACAGAACAGAGGAGGCCTGGGCCATGAGCAAGGGAACCTCAAGGCTCTCCAAGCCCAATGCTACAGGTGTCTTGTAGCCCCCCCGTCTCTCTTGGGGACACTTGTGCATTTGAAGAGTCAGATGGCCAGGCCAGAAGCCACAACAGCAGCCCATGTGCAAATCCCAGAGGAGAAGCAAGTGCAGGGCCAATGTTTGCTTTGTGTGGGACCAGATCAGACCATGGGGCAGAGAGAGGCCCGTGGTTGTCAGAACAGTGTGGGATTTAGTGCATGGGACTGGGGGCAGGCTGGGGTGACCAAGGCAACAGGGCAAAATGGGGCATGGCTCAAAGATCCTGAGGTGACACAAAGCAGGAATTGTCCAAGGGATGGACCCGAAAGCATTTTCCTCAACAGAAAGCATGAGGACAACCATGAATATGAGCTGTGATACTAAGCCAGTCTGGCCGGGCTGCTCCAGGGTGGTGCTGAGCTGGCAGGCTGAGTCACCACAACCTCAGTGCTGCTGTTTTCACACCCATTGGACCCCCTACTCCCCCATCCTGGGACCCAAACATGATGCTGGAGGTGCTGGCCACCATATGGAGAAGTCCTAGGACTGCTGTTCACAGGTCTCATGACAGTGAAAACCTAGCTGAGATGGGCACAAGCTGTTTCCTGAATCCTCATTTCCACTGTTCCTTCTTTGCAAGATGAAGAGCCTGAGAGAAAGATGTGGATCTGGGTTTGGCAAACAGGGGGATGCCATGGATCAACAGGGATGGAACACTCACTGAGGTAGGAATCAGACTGTGAGACCCTGCTGGTGTCCCTCAGCATGCCAACATCACCATGAATAGGGCACCCAGTGCTCACTGCCTTCCTGGGCAGGGAGAAGAAGAGGGCAAATCGATTGTGTGGTTTGTCTCCCTGGTGTCTGCAGGAAGCTCTGCCTCTTACAAGCTGCTATTCTGCATCCATTGCCTCATGAAGGCACAATGTCTGGTGCCAGCCAGGCCTCTCAGTCAATAAAGGATTGCTGAAAGGACACAGACATCCACAAGCTGTTGGAGCAAAAGCACCAGCACCAAGTCAGCTGGGGTAGACACAGAGCACAGAATGGGTTGGAAGGACCTTTAAAGATCATCCAGTCCAACTGCACAGCAGGGATATCTTTCATTAAACCAGATTGCTCAGGCCCCCATTCAACCTGGCCTTGAACACTCCCAGGGATGGGGCAGCCACAGCTTCTCTGGGCAACCTGTGCCAGGGCCTGACCACCCTCACAGCCAAGAATTCCTTCCCAATATCCCATCTCACCCTGCCCTCTGTCTGTAGGAAGCCATTGGCCCTTGTCCTGTCCTTCCAGGCCCTTGTCCAAAGTCCCTCTCTGGCTCTCTTGGAGCCCCTTTAGGCACTGGAAGGGGTTCTAAGATCTCCCTGGAGCCATCTCTCCCCCAGGCTGACCCCCCTCCTAGCCCCGCTGACATCAGTACCTCGTCCTTCCAACGCCCCCAGCAACTGCAGCCAGCCCAGCCCTGCAGAGACTCCCTTGGTCGTTGCTTTCTGCCCACAGAGTGGCTCAGACCCTGCACCTGAGACCCCTGAGCCCCAGACCCCACCTGACCTCTCCTGATTCCCCCAAGCCATCCTGGATCCCTGGCTCCCTTGGACCCACCTGAGCCCCCAAGCTCCCGTGGCTCCCCCTGATTCCCCCAAACCCCCCCAAGGGACCCCTGGATCCCCAGGCTCCCCAAGCCCCCTGAGTCCCCCAAACCCTCCTGGCTCCCCCAGCTTCCCAAGCCCCCTAATCCCCCCGAGCTCCTCAGCTTCCCTGGCTCCCTCAGACCCCTGAGCCTCCCAAGTCCCCTCAACTTCTTCAGGAACTCCCGGACCCCCGAGATCCCCCCTGGCTCCCCAAGAACCCCGAGTGTCCCCAGCTCCTTCCAGGACCCTCCATTCTCCCATATCCCCCGGCTCCC